TTCACAGAAAACTATCAGTTATACTCAGCTGATGCTGTGCAACAGGCACTATTCTGAGGTGCTGGGGATATGTTACATTATTACAGCAGTGTAAAGATACCTTTGCTTTGAACAGCAAATTCCCTGTGCAAACACCTATCCTGGAGTATTCTGTAACCCAAAACTATTTGTAAATGTCTGCAGTATTTCATTTGTGGTCTTGGAGTATCTCTGATTCTAATCACTGGCTGCATTGCATTTAGCTGCCAAGGCCTGGAATTATCCCCTGAACCTCGCCTCTCACCTTTCTCCTTTAAGGTGCTGATTATACCTGTTTTACCAAGCTTTTAGTCATTTGCTTTAATTCTCCTTTTATACGCAATGTCAAATTTTGTTTAGTGGTGCAGTCGTGAATTGTCTTGCAACATTTTCTCATTTTAAAGGTGCTATATCACTAAGTTGTTCGGTTGCCAGGAGGAGGCCATTTGGTCCATTGTGTCTATTCTGGCCCTCTGAACATTTCAACTTTGAATCAAACCCTGCCTTTTCCTTGTAACCTGCACGTTGTTTTCATTTAAAGATTAATGCCCTTTTGAATGTCTTATTGGAACCTGCCTCCTGCACAATTCCAGGTCGTGCATTCCAGACGCGAACCACTCGTTGTATGTTAAAGTTCATTATCACCCCACTATTTCCTTCTTTTGCAAAACACTTCAAAACTGTACCATCCGGTTCTTGATCCTTTTTATGAGATTTTGATCTTGTTTCTCCCAATCTATTCTGTCTAGATCTCTCATGATTTTTAAACCTTTGACCAAATCTCCCCTCAGCCTTCTCTTTGAGGAAAACAGTCTCAACTTCTTCAATCTATCCTCATGACTGTAATTTCTCATCCCTGTACACTTCTTATTGACCTGTTATTGCATTCTCTCTAATGCATTCAAATCCTTCCTAAAGTGTGGCACCCAGAACTGTACTTCATTTGTTGTTTGAGAGTAAATGAGGTGCAAAGTGTTTTGTAAATATTATGTCCTCACCTTGATGAACATATAAAGTGACATTTTTTTATTCAAACTTTTTTCTGATCATTTAAGTTTTTGCAAACATAAGAACAAAATTTGCTTTTCTGGTTTGAAAGTTGATGTTGATTACTTGGGCAACAAGATAGGCATCATAATAACAAAAAAACAAAACTGAAACAGTTTTTTCTTTGAAGAAATTCAACATTAAGTTTTTTGTTATGCTGTTGTTAAAGTTCTTCCCCCCTTTCTTTTTTGGAGGCACTGATTTCTTCTTGCAGTGTTGATAGGCACTGGCTCCTCTCCAGTATCTCACCCAAGTAAACAATATTGAGGTGTAAGATAATGAGTGTAAGGAGACCACTTGCTCATCAAGGGCATTCATAATGATTGTGCACAAAAGCCAAAGCATATTCAACGATCATTTGGAGTTGTTGGTTGCAACCCTGAATAGGAGTTCTTACTGATTCCTGCCCTCCTGTCTAAGATCACCGAACTCATCATGGCCCAAGAATTAGACGAAGGCCTTAAAGTGTAATTTAGTTTGCAAAGCAGATTGCTGCATTGCTAAATTGGAAGATGGAGCTAGCAGACAAAAATATATTGAATCACCTTACAAAATATCAAAGGATACAAGGGTTTTATATTCCAAAATTACATGGATCATACATGCAAATAAAAAGGCCAAAAGGTGCAACAAAATTATTACAAAACAAACTCTCAAGGAATAAACTTCACCTTTGCATCATACTGTATTACAAAATTTCAACACAATAGATATATAAATATTTAGCTACAGATTTCCCGTACCCCCCAACAAAAAAAAACACGTGTAAGTCAGTAATTATAATCCACATACAAAACACATCAAAGTTGTTAGTATTGAGGATGTGTTGCCCAGGAATAGATGCAAAATTTAAAAAAACATAAATGCTGGAAATGCACAGCCAGTTTCGTGAGTGCTTTTTAAAGAAACCAAGAACTGTAATTGGGGCTACCATCAAAGAATCAATGAGCAGGATACACCAAGCTTCTGGTTTTAAATTTGGCCAGTAGTAAAAGGAAAGGAACACTGACAGAAGTGAAGAGTTACATTTGATTTGAGGTCCTGTAAAGACATGAGTAAGAAAAGATATTGTCATTAGTCTTTATTTTAACAGTGCAAGGAGGAAGAATGTGTAGAATTGATTCGGAGCATGAAATGATCTTAAACGGGGAATGGGTTGGGGGGGGAATGCGGAGTTGAGAGGATTACTGACCATAATAGCCTGTAAAAAAAAGAATATGCTAATATTTCAAGATGTAACCTTCATATATCCATGTGCAGCAGAGCATCCCACGCAGTTCACAAATCTTTCTTCTTTCTTTCAAGAGCTGACTGAGCTGCTGTGCATTTTCAGCAATGTTCTGATCATTTTGGATTTCCAGCCTTGGCATGTTTTTCTCCCTCTCCACTCTGTGGGAGGAGATTAAACCAAATAGATGATTGAATGTATCAGTTAAAAAATCAAACTTCTCCATGGATTTGAATTATAAAATCAGGGTTGAAGTGCAAGAAATTTTTTCACTTTTTTTCATATCAACTAACCTTTATACAATATGTTACAGGCTCAGTCTCTCAGTTTAAAGTGACAGTACTCATTTTGGTTAACCTATGCAGCAGGCTGAGGCTGGGCAGCCTATTTTATGGAGAATGGTGGACTTCTGATTTGAGAGACAGCTCTCTTTCATTCTACAGTTTCAAATCACCAGAAATTGTATGGAAGAATTACTACCTCCATGAAACAGCAGAAAGAATTTTAGGCAAATAATTATTCTACAGTCTAATTCCAAGGCTCTGACCTTCCCTGATATTTGCACTTCAATTGAATATTTCTAGTATTGGTTGCTTCATCGAGGTAGTTCAGTACCGTGTTTCATAGAGAGGAGCAAGTTGGGTCAATTTTCTGACATTGTCAGCTTGCACTGCTCTCATACATCTCCTTGTGAAACAACCAATCAGCTGTGTAAGAATAGTCTGGAAGAATGCTCACTGGTCAAATTGTCTCATCCTTTCATCTTTCCTGTGTTCCATAAGAAAAGTGCAAATGAGCACAGAAGGAACTAATTAGAAATGGAAAAGATTTTTCTGGCCTAATTTAAACTTGCAATGCTGTCCTTGCCACATAACAATCTGACTTCTGTACCTTTTATCTGAGACCAAATAATTGTTATTTAAACCTTTTTAGTTAATGGGGTCTTATTCGCCGTTCCTTAATTGGACCTTAATTTGCTTTTCGCCAAAAAGGGATGCCTGAATCTTTAAATTTGATAGTTTGCTATCCCTAATTTCAATTTTCCTACTTCAGGATGGAAGTTTGCATTTGTTTAAGGTGAGTATCGTAAACGTCTCATGCCTTTTGATCTTGAACCATGAAAGCACCAAATGCTTACAGCTATTTTCCCGTTGTTTTTGGAGCTCTCCAACATCACTCTGACACTCAGTTCAAATCCAACTTATTATTAAACTTCAGCTTCATGTATTTCACCATCTGTGACCTCCATAACTATTCATTTGACTTGTACTGAGTTTGAAGATGTGGATTCATACCTGTTGCAGCATTTTAATTTGTATCTATGCTGGCCGACAACCTCATTGTTCAGACCACTGAACCTGAAATCATTTGAAAACTATTGTAAGCATTATTTCATTGTGCCATCATCTTATGTGTAACAGATAGATTAAAAGTCTCTCTGCAACACATTTAGAATTGTAGAACTGTTTCCAGAGGAACACAAGAACAAAGGGATAAATATGTTTGAGAAAAAGGAAGTATTAAATAAATCAAAATGAAAATGTTTTGGTGAAGAGAATGTGCACAGCTCATTTTTCTGCTTCTATTTTAGTCGTGAATCTCTGAAAGAATGTCATTGTGATACAGAAAACTCCAATACCTCGTTAAAATAGCTATTAATGTGTAAACATAGACAGTGAATGTCAATAATCTGCTCAATAAAGACATGACAGCTAAGGCTTAGCTTGTCTTTACCCAAACTCTTCACACATATATCACGCGCACAAAACACACAAACCATACACACTAGCATACAGCATTTGTACATAGGAGTTAGTTCACTCAATTGACTGGTTGGTAGGTTTGTGATGCAGAGTGATGCCAACTATATGGGTTCAGTTCCTGGCTGAGGTTCCCATGAAGGTCCTGCCTTCTCAACCTCGCCTGAGGAATGGTGACCCTCAGGTTAAATGCACCCATTAGTCATTTTACTCTTGTAAGCCTTATGGTCTGCTGGGATGATGGTGATTTAACCTTGACAACAAAAAATATTACACACTCAACATGTGCATCACATGTATACAGAACACACATACCATACACATGGATCTCACACATGCACACCACAAACACACTTCTAAACTATATGAAAGACATTGCCCCACAACACTCATGTACCGCAAACACACTGTGCACCACAGTGTGACAAACACACATATGCAAGGACTTTCTGGCATGAAAGTTTGTATTGGGAATTGAAGAATTGGTTGACTCATTTCCTCTCCCTAACCCAGCAATGCTTCAGCCAATTGTAGAATCAATTGTATAATCCTGACCTTGGTCGGTCCATAAAAGGGACTAAGCCTGGAGCTGTCCTGTGATCTGCATAGTTCCATATCATTCTCAGAGCTGCTTAAAACTATTCAATACATGGGAAGTTTTATAATTTCTGAATTGCAGCCTAGATTAGCGAACAATAAAGAATACTGTCTCTTCAAATTACTGTAATATTTCTTAAACCGTTAACTTCTAATCTTACCACACACACTGAGCGATTTATTAACATTTTATTCAGTCAAATTTTAGAAAAAGATCTTCTGTCTGATTTATTTAAGTATCTAGATAATCAGCCAGTTCTTGTATCCAAAGATGTACTTTTTAACAGAAAAGAACTGCCACGTTAAACTGTTATCCAAAATAGAAAATAGCATTTTTTAAAGATCTCTCTCTCTTCTCCCTCAACACCCACCACCTTGTCCATCACTTCCATACGTTTGAGGCGATTCCTTGAATGCAGATGAAACTGAGTTTTCCACAACACTATGGGGAATTCACTCGGTCCATTCAATGAAGAAAGTCAGCTTTGTTCCTGGCTTCCAAGGGAACGCCTGTTAATATTTTTGACAGCTGTGGATTCTGGTGATAGTATTTTTGTAGTGGATGAACTTTGCTCCCTGGAATGCGATATAGTGACTGAAGAAAATAGGCTCACATCGGAGGAACTACGAGCCCAGTCATGGCTAGAAAAGACAGAGGAAATATATAAACAAATACACGCATATACTTTATACATCTATTCTAGATAAATATAGAACACTGAGATAACATAGCCAGGTCAGAGCAAATCAATTTTCATAAGCTTCAACAATATTTCAAAAGTAAACTTTTGGTTGTGGTTTTTGTTCTTACCTCCTCTCCTGATGGCCCTGAATCTCACTGAAGAACTTCGCCAAATGGGCCATCTGTGAGGCAAGTCAGCAAGTGTTGGCAAGATATTTATAAGGGGCAAGTCCACTGGTGTCCTCATCTAATGCTTTGACAACTTGTTCTATTTATTGTAATCATGAGAGCTGGACTGAGCTTCACATTCCCAAATACAATCTGCTCATACAGTGCACAGAACTGTCAAAGTTTTGTACTTGGTCTATGTGGCTATCAGTGCAGTGCAACATTTAATGCTGCTTTGACCCACATGATCACATGAAACTGCTATTTTATTTAAAGTTTTAAATGAATGCATTGATTTGAACTTGTCCTTCCACTCAATTGCCTTTGTCAGTTGCAGGGAAGAGGTGTTAAAGTGGCCCATTCATCCTTTTCTACCTAATTTGAGTCTTTACCTTCCACAAGCAGCAAGAGAAAGCCAACAGGTCCAATAAACTTGTCTGTTAGGTCAACCCTGTGCTTTATTTTACTTGCCTCAATCTTTTACCCTTTTGGAAATGTATCTTAGTTGTCTTGAATCTACTTACACTTCAGTGGCTTTTTATCAAACATTATACCAGTAAAGTGAAATGTTTTTGCTGACTTTCCTGAATGGTTTTCACTTGTGGACTTGAATTATTTGCTGCAACATGCATGATTAATTTTGTAAATATATCAAATTATGATGAGAATTTAAAGTTTTCCTATTTCTGAGAAAATACAAGCCCAGTCTCCTCAATATTTTCTCAGGAATTAAATTTCATACAAACGTGAATGGGCTATGACCACTGTTATGCTGCTTTTAAAAATGTCTCCTATTTGCTTTGCTATTGGAGCCTTGGAAACTTATTTGCTGGTTGAGGTGCATCATACTCTGATAAATTCAGATTGATGATGCCATGCTAGAACTGGCATACAATGAGGTGCCAGGCATGTCTTCCTTGTCTCTCATTTTGACTGGTATCCCATTTATATTAAAATGATGAAACTCATATCTGCTTGTGAGATTTTGCCAATCCTGTACCAAAATATAAAGTGGACCAAGTCTGCAAAGCAAAATCTGATTGATATGACAGAATTTAAACTGAACATCGTACTAGAGATTTGAATGAATCAAAGGTGTTGATCATTATACATATTATTTATTTGCAAGCCTTAAACATTGAGACAGATCAATAATTTTTGTTATCTGCAGTGTGTTTATCTCATACTAGTTTTGACGTTGAATATAAAATTTGTGTAGACATTTTTTTCTCACAGCCCCTCAGGTATTCAATGCTTCAATGTACTTAAACACAACAGGCCCTCTGAGCCAGAGCAAGGTGAATTTTATTGTTCTTGTTGTTGAAGTTTGTGATCTGCTTTAGTGCAAGAACACACAAAGTGAGGTTCAGAATTGGTCCCTGAGCATTCATCCTTTTATTGGAATTTGAACTGTATCTTTAATCTCCCAACACACCATGCAAACAACCTGAGTTGTTATCTCTGCTCTTACGTGACGTGTCTGACCTTCTCATTATTCCACGCTTGATAGTTTTTATCATGGGGATCACCACTGAAAAACTGTCTGTCAGAAGGAACCACAGAAAGAAGGCTTAACCTCAAGCATATCTGTTTTAACTTAAATGCCTGCAAAAGTATTTTCCAAATTGAACTCAATTGCATTAAATGAATTTTAAACGAAGAAATATCTCCATCTTTTCAGTTCAATTGGAGGAAATGTAGAAACATGAATGATCCAATTAAAGTAGAATGAGGGAGGGAAAATTATGGGTTGGTCAAGGCTGGGGAGGGGAAAACTACGGGAGTTTATGAACAATCTCACATTTCTTTTATCCTATGAAGGAATAAATCAAGACTAAGAGTGTCTTGCAATTTAATCAGAGTGAGGATCCAGAACTGGTGAACATTCGCAAATGTTACTAGACAGGCAATTCAGAATCCTGGATGAATGATTCGAGGCATGGACTCAAAAGTCATCACAGCAGCTGGTAAATTTAAATTCAATTATTTAAATAATATTTGGAATGAAAACTTAGGATTATTAGTGGTGACTATCAACTTACTGGATGGTCCGTAAAATATCCATCTGATTCACTGATTTAGGGAAGAAAATTTGCTCACCTTACTCAGTTTCACATATTACGTGAGTCCAGATGCACAGCAATGTGCTTACCGTCTGAAGTAACCTAGCAAGACAATCTGTTTTATTGTCCTGTCAAGGACAATTAGGGATGGACTGTAATTACTGGTCTTGTGACACAGACATCCCGAGAATGATAAACCCAAATAATGCAGAGAAGGAACAAGATGTAAGATGGAGGATAAAACAAGAAAATGAAGAAAACTGACAATAATTATATCTACACACAAAGGCAGAAAGGCTGAAATGGTGAGAGAAAATAACCCATCAGACACCAAGATTTTCTTTTTATATTGTTAAAAGGCACAGCCGTGCACTAAACAACACTTGCAAAGAAGAAATCAACTCAAATAGTTTATTTTGTCAGTTTAAAGAGTTCAAAGTCAATCACTCTTAGTGTCCTATGAGAATGGTAAATCAGTCTGGCCAAACTTTTCTTGTGACGTGTATGGTATTCTCACCGCATGAAGCATTTATTTATTTTCTGCACCTCTGGGTGCATGAACATTTGCAGTTTGCTCATTGCTTTATTTTTGGCAGATTAAATATTCAGGTTCAAGGTGGAAGCCAAATCCTCTTTTTCTCAAACGAGACTTTGCTTCCCTAATGGTCAGTTGAACCAAGTATGATGCCGAGGCACACATACTTGACAAATTTCGGTCTCAATTACCAATCTGTGTGTTCTTTGAGCTGAACAAATTATCCTTCTCCCCTAAATTCAAGAGGGGGGAACAATTAGCCAATGTTTTAGTTCCTTATTGTTATCCCATGACTTCTGCTGGAGACCACCTGTATTCTTGGACAGAAGGTCGGAGAATTGGATTTAATGGTGAAACCTGCCATTTTTGAATGATTTGCAAACACTCTAGTTTTGGCTTGCCATTAATGAATAGAAAAAGTGCTGATAGACTCTGCAGCCTTTGTCCTAATTTTCATTGTTTCCAAGTCACCCATGATAATTGTGCTCACTGACCTACACTTGGATACTAAAATTCTCTTCTTTCTTTTAAAATCCCTCCAAGGCATCACCACTCCTTAGTTCATTAATCTTCTTCAGTTTACAGCCCTTCAAGGTTTCTGTATTCTTTCAATTCTGCCCTCTGGTATATTTCCTGATTTTAATTGCTCCATCATTGGCAGCCGCACGTTAAATTGGCTCTAAGCTCTGGAATTCCCTCACTAAACCTTTGAACCTCTCTACCTCATTCGACCTTAAAGACATTCCTTAAAAAATCTTAGATAACAAGGTGTGGAGCTGGATGAACACAGCAGGCCAAGCAGCATCACAGGAGCAGGAAGGCTGATGTTTCGGGCCTAGACCCTTCATCAGAAATGGGGGAGGGGAAGGGGGTTCTGAAATAAATAGGGAGAGAGGGGGAGGTGGATAAAGATGGATAGAGGAGAAGATAGGTGGAGAGAAAACAGACAGGTCAAAGAGGCGAGGATGGAGCCAGTAAAGGTGAGTGTACGTGGGGAGGTAGGGAGGAGATAGGTCAGTCCAGGGAGGACGGACAGGTCAAGGGGGCAGGATGAGGTTAGTAGTTAGGAAATGGGTGTGCAGCTTGAGGTGGGAGGAGGGGATAGGTGGGAGGAAGAACAGGTTAGGGAGGCGGGGACGAGCTGGGCTGGTTTTGGGAAATGATGGGGGGAGGGGAGATTTTGAAGCTTGTGAAATCCACATTGATACCATTGGGCTGCAGGATTCCCAAGCAGAATATGACTTGCTGTTCCTGCAACCTTCGGGTGGCATCGTTGTGGCACTGCAGGAGGTCCAGGATGGACATGTCGTCTGAGGAATGGGAGGGGGAGTTGAAATGGTTCGCGACTGGGAGGTGCAGTTGTTTATTGCGAACCGAGCGTAGGTGTTCTGCAAAGTGGTCCCCAAGCCTCCGCTTGGTTTCTCCGATGCAGAGGAGGCCACAACGGGTACAGCAGATGCAGTATACCACATTAGCAGATGTGCAGGTGAACATCTGCTTGATGTGGAAAGTCTTCTTGGGGCCTGGGATGGGGGTGAGGGAGGAGGTGTGGGGGCAGGTGTAGCACTTCCTGCGGTTGCATGAAAAGTGCCGGGTGTGGTGGGGCTGAAGGGGAGTGTGGAGCGGACAAGGGAGTCACGGAGAGAGTGGTCTCTCCGGAAAGCAAATAAGGGTGGGGAGGGAAAAATGTCTTTGGTGGTGGGGTCGGATTGCAGATGGCGGAAGTGTCGGAGGATGATGCGTTGGATCCGGAGGTTGGTGAGGACGAGGGGGATTCTTTTTTGGTTGTTATTGCGGGGACGGGGTGTGAGGGATGAGTTGCGGGAAATGTGGGAGACACAGTCGAGAGCATTCTCGACCACTGAGGGGGGTTGTTGTGGTCCTTGAAAAATGAGGACATCTGAGATGTACGGGAGTGGAATGCCTCAGCCTGGGAGCAGATGCGGCGGAGGCGAAGGAATTGGGAATAGGGGATGGCATTTTTGCAGGAAGATGGGTGGGAGGAGGTGTATTCTAGGTAGCTGTGGGAGTCAGTGGGCTTGAAATGGATTTTGGTTTCTAGGTGGTTGCCCGAGATGGAGACAGAGAGGTCCAGGAAGGTGAGAGAGGTGTTAGAGATGGTCCAGGTGAACTTAAGGTTGGGGTGGAAGGTGTTGGTGAAGTGGATGAACTGTTTGAGCTCCTCGTGGGAGCA